GACTATACTTTGTATATGTTTTGGATACGGTGTACCGTATCAAGACTCAGAAGCCCTTAGGGCAAGGTTAGTATATCTAGTAAGGGAATTATAACTCTGTTCACCTACAGGGTAATGTGCTTTAGGTTGCTCTTTCTGCCCAAACTCTTAACTTATCAACCTGGGAATACTATGTGAACACTCTAAACATTTACTAGCGTATGTATAACTGTTTAAAAGTAGATAGCTTTATAGAAGAACAAAATTCAAGTCAGCTACAAGGTAAAGAAGAAATGTAAAATGAACCTCAAGATAAAAAGGAGCAAAATCTGCTATAAACTGATAACAAGGGAATTCCTAATGTTGTTATATTAAGATTATTGCTCAGATTTATATAAAGATTACATTTACTGACCTGGGGAATGCTGGGAAGTTGCAAGTGAGGTCATGGAATTAGAAAGGTTAAGGTTAGCAGTAATACTAAGCTGGCTCTGCACTGCAGGAGGATAAGGAGATGTGGGTGTCAGGAGGGACTCCTCACTGGTTTCTTCATCAATTCCAGGCAAATACGTGTCAATCAAGGCATCAAGAAACTTAACAATAAGCTCAGCATAGTCTGGGATTTGTGTTTGCTGTAATGGAAAATAGGAAATTATTTTAGCTCCATTCGTTTTTTTTTTGTTTGTTTTTTTTTAGGTCAATCCCCTTTGAAGCCAAAAACGATTAATTCAATTTTTGTTTTGGGCTTCATTTATGATTTTTCTTCCTTGGTATTATAGATCATTAAAATAAGGGGGGTGGAGTAATATTTACAGACTAGTGTGGGACTTACAACTGGGAATTTTATTTGGCTTATCACTTACAGATTTCAGACGAACCTGTAAATACTGAAAGCCACGCACAGACAAAGACTGAATTAATCCTGAGACAACACAATTATCAGGAATGATGTCTAGTCCATTTTCCAAAACAGAGAAAATAAGCTGAGTGTCATCATTCCAGCTGCCATGTAAAGATTCAACTAACTGAACGCTGTGAAGGGCTCAGAGGGTTACCGGCAATCAAAGTACAAAGATTCCTGTATGATATACTTATTTCTGTGACTTCAGGCTCATTTTTTAACGACAGCCTTTGCATATTCAGTAACAACTAAACAAAATAAATTAAATTCCCAATTCTTAAGATCCGAACAAGGTTTAGATAATTTGTACTGATTTAGCACCCCTGTATCTACAATACTGCACTAGGAACTGCTGGGGATAGAAATAGAAGTCCTGCCTTCAAGGAACCTCAATCAATTGGAGACAGACCACATATAGAGAAAATAATTAAATACACATTTATGTAGTACTGTATTAACTAATGCCAACCAAAGAACAAACTGAATAGGAGCAAATGAGAATATACTCAGGGAGAAATACATCTAATGCAACAGTTGGAAAGGAAAATATTTACATGAGGTAGTTTTTTTTCCCCTTATGTAATTTTTTAAAAATTGAGGTTTAATTGACATATAACATCAGTTTCAGGTCACGAGGTAGATTTTAACCATAGGTAATGCTCCTTCCTAATTACAAGATACTTAAGTGTGTGCATTAGGATCATCAA